GACGATGACGAAGAAGATGATGATGATGAACACCAACTGACATGATAATCATCATGACGCATCCTCAGCATCACCAGCAGTCATCATGATAATCATGTCCGCGCATCTTCTGCATCTCAAATCGGGTCTAACGGGACACTTGAAACGTATATAAAAAAAGATAAGGACGATGACGAAGAAGATGATGATGATAAGCACCGTGATGATGATGATGATGATGATGATGATGAACTGACAGGATAATCATCGTGACGCATCCTCAGCATCACCAGCAGTCATCATGATAATCATGTCCACGCATCTTCTGCATCTCAAATCGGGTCTAACGGCACACTTGAAACGTATATAAAAAAAGATAAGGACGATGACGAAGAAGATGATGATGGTTAAAAGCAAAGGATCTTCTATAATTTCACGTTTTCGACCAAATAGGCCCGACTTGGGGCATGTAGGGGCCTCCACAGTCCATGCTCCATGTCAACTCCGCGGAATCTAGCTAAGCAGTGCCATCGTGTGAAAGCCAGCGACCCTGTTCGAAAGTGAGTTTTTGATGGAAGTGGAGAGGACTGGGGGCCTAGGCCTTCGACCGTGTCACAAGGAGATAAGGACAGCGGCGACGACCACCACGCCGATGATGATGATGATGATGATGATGATGATGATGATGTTGAATCTTCGGTTATGCTCATTTACCAGCCAGCCTTGGACTTGTAACCGCCCTTCCCGTACGCCTCCCCCTTTGAGGAGAAGGGGTCGGCGGATTTGTCTTTTTTGGAAGGTTCTCAAAATGGGTTTGGGGGTGGGGGGTGGTCCATGAAAACTGGCGGCATGCATTTTGAGGGTCTTCCAAAGTTACTTTACAGCAATCTTAAAGTTTCGACGGCCACACGATGAGGTTTGCCAGGTTCACCCGTTTGACCCTTCGCGTGTTGTGCTGCTCACTGCTAGGCCACTCGTCTTCGTGCCGCAGATGCTTTTTTCAGGACAGGGGCCATAGATAAACTCTTTCGGGTCTAATTTACCCATGTCCACGGAGGGTGCAGCCAGGTTTGGTTTTTGCACCTGTGGATATCCATCACTCAAAGATACGCGTGCCAAGCTAGATTTGCTGGCAAGTCAACTGACACCGCGTCAGAGGTGTGTGGTTTGCGAATTTGGCAGCATGATCCAATCACATACATATGCCAAGTCACCCAAGGGCGCCTAAGGGAACATCATGTTGAGTCATCCACTTGGCTTGGTGGTTCGTCCCTAGGTTTTTAGCTTTTTAGTGCGTAGCGGTTGGATTTGTCCATTTCACCCTCCAAACGTTAGTGCTTTTCGATAGGGGGATCAGAAAACGCAGAGCCCACTTGGGAGTGCAGGTTGAGGCAGACTGAGCCAGGAGTCTTCATTCCGGTCAGCCACATGCCAGGCTTGGCGAGGGGGTGATCTGAAGCGAACACGACAAGAAGAATGGGCAGGAAGGCATCGAGTCAAAATATAGTGAAGTGATGTAGCATATGGGGGTTGATCAATATTCCCTTCGGCCCCCAAATCACCATGGGTAACTTGTCCCATGTGGTTGAAATATCATATTTCTATTTGGTGGTGAGCCAATGGTCATCCCCGTGTTTTACGACCTTTTGATGGACCCCCATAGAAGGTTCTCGGAAGGAGGAGGCACGCTTGAGGGCATTTGCCAATTTGCTGTCCAGTCTATTTGCGCTGGATGCAGTACTTCAGCTTTCTGCAGCGCCACGCCCAGTGATAGCGTTGCGACGGGGAAGCTCTGACAGTGGCGATTGTCTGAGTGCTTGCGTTGGCAGCGCTTCTTGTTCATTCTGAGCTCTGATTGAACTCATGTGCGCAATGGTCAAAAGATGAACGACGACTCGAGCTTGACACTGGATGTTCATCCTTTCCGTGGGCGTGTTTCAATCTACGCATTCAAACATATCATCTATACATTGAGGGAACCATGACAGTCGCCCCTGCCATAATTGGCTCAGACCGCATTTGCGGCATTGATTCGTTTTGAATCTTGATTACCCCTTCTCCCACCAACATGGCGCCTCACAGAGGGTTCATTCAAGAGGAAATTGATCTTCCAGGTACCCTCCCGCAGGTGCTATGTTAGTGGGAGGGAGGGTAACCACCGAGACTCCGCGAACTCAACTTATGTCGTTCGATTAGCACCCCTCCTGTGCTAAGGTATGCCATCAAGGTCTTGGGCATCGTGGAATTCAGGCATGTACCTCACAAAGAACTTGTCCTGGACGCGCAGGACCAGAAGTGGGAGCCCGTGGCGGAGAGTGTTTAAGGTAAGCCGTCAGGATGTTTTTTTCTGGGATCGGTGGTCGGATTGGATCGGTGGATTTGGATTTGAGTCCCTGGTTCTGAACCCCAGGGCTCCAAACCACCACGAGGAAAGCGATCCAGTTGTGACATGTGCTCTTGCACCGGACCTGGCTTTTTTGGGTGGCACTAGGGGGTGACATGTACTGGAGGTCCTGATTGAAAAGGCGATCCGCATGGATGCGCACCGCATGCGTGCTGCTGCAGCACTTGGATGTGGTGTGTGAAAGCGGGAGGCACAGATTTTCTGGCATTGTTTGGTTGCTGCTTCCCTTGGTGTTTGTGTGTTGGAACGGGAGGCATAGACAGCCAGCCAGACACATCTTGCAGACCTCGACTGTGTGAAGTTTGATGGGGGAAATTTGGATGGGCATTGAAGTGGGGAGTGTCCACCCACGTGGCTCCATATTAGCTCTGTTGCCCAGTGGATTCCGCCCATTTGTTCGACTTTTCTTGGGGAAGGGTTCCCCTGTAAAGTCAACCAACCAAAAAACATCAGATGCCGATTCTTATTTGCCCATGGCCACTAACGTGGCTCCCTCTTAGAATGCATAGCTGCATAGCCATGTCGTGAAGAGATCTGGGCCAGGACATCCTTGAGGACAGCTTGTGGGTCTATGTAGGCGCTTTGATCTGCCGATTGGGACAAAAGGGAGTTGGGCAGAGTCTTATTCGGGTGTGCGTTAGAGCTTTTCTTTGGCTTCACTTTAAAGCACCCCAAAACAGGCGACCCTCCAAAATAAAAACCCATGCATTTGCTCAATCGAGACGTTATTGGTAGAATGCTGGAGCCGTTTAGAGTTGAATCTTTGTTTTTTGATCAGCGACTGTCTCCAGCCAGCGAGTTGTCCGTGTTTCTCTGGAATGAAGCAGGACTAGGCAGACTGAAACCGGTAAATGTTCGGTGAATCAACCGTACAGTTGGAAGCCAGTATTTTCGGGGCTTGCGATGGCACAGATCTCATGCAATGAATATCAGAGGTTAAAGAGGCGTGATTTGTATTTGTGCACATGGGTGTCCCTTTGAGGTTAGTCTGTTTGAACATAGATGGCACCTGATTTCCCTTATCATTTGCCAGTGCCATCTATTTTTTCCAAAAGGACACTTATGTTTGTGCATGAATGTGAATTAGGGACCCATCTGCGGACACCGTGTGGGCAGGGATTCATGTCCACCAACCTCGGTTGATGTCGCTCCTGTGAGAAAAAAAAACAAAACAAAAAATGGTTTTGCATTTGCATGGTCTCTATGGAGACATCCCACCCCGGCCCGTGCAGGTTTGTTGGTATTGATGGTCGCAGCCTCATTTTGCTGATTTCAGCTCACTGCACGGGACTAGATTCCTTTTGTTCCGAGGTGCTCATCTTCTCGCTGACCGGAATCCAAATGTTGCGAAACAAGGCAACCCATCTTTTTTAAGGCCATCACGGCCAGTCAGCGGATTAGATGCCGTAAGGTTACAGAGCCGATCGGTCAGCTCCGCGAAGTTCGTGGCTTATGACTTGAAATGAAAGCGGAAAAGAAGGTGCATGCATCTGCCTTAGGGCGAGCTCACCTGGGGGGTGAAATGAGCTCATGGTAAAGATCCTTTAGTTGGGGATTTGTTTTAATTTCAGTTTTTTCGGACATATTGTAACACTTTGCAGATGCATTGTGGTTCTTGCAAGGGTTTCAGCAGGAGTACCATAGCCTGCACTGAACCTTGCTGTAGTACACGTTCTTCGAGTTTGCTGCATCCGCCTGCATTGTGCTCAAACACAGAGGGAGCCACTGGCTGAATTCTCGACCACCGGAAACTGGAAACCGTCAGTTCTGACCAAATTGATAAAATGCTCACCGGTGAAGGTGGAAGCAAAATGAGCTCACCCACGATGAAAGTCCTTTGAGATTTCCTGTTTGTGGTGTATAGTAATTGACCGAAAATAGTTTGTTGGATTGTAAATTGTAGCAGGTGCCACTTCGGAGACATTGATGCGCAAGTTGATGTTTAACTTGGTGCACATGCAACTGAACAAAGAGTGGTCGCCTTCCAAAGTCATTCTGAGAAATCTGAGCCAATCACAGCAGACACACTTGCTGAGGCATGCAAAACAGATATCATTGGGTTTCATGCAGGGAGATGGAGAGAGACGGCTTGGGATCTGAGCGGAAAGACACCACTCCTTGGAGCGTACTGGTGGATCATGGTTGGTTCGCAAGACACTTTGCAGGAGGCAGGGCCTTTCGTGTACATTTCTAAATTGGTTTGTATCTTTTTCGGCCCCCCCAAAAAGAATGATGGAGTTCCTTTTGGTTTTCCTTTAACAGGCACAAAACAGGGGTGCCCTTGAAAAAAGACAGACCCAAATGAATCTTTACGTTTCCACAATCCCTCTCACACAGGTTTCCCCACTTCCTTTCCTCCACTCGGACCGCAAATTGCCAGGATGTGTGGCGCTCGCAGCTGCGCAGCTGCCACGGTGCCATGACGAACACACAAGTTCGCCCGGGCTTTTGCTTTTTGAAGGGTACCCTTCTCAGTTTGGTTTAAAGGGAAGCCAAGAGCAAAACCATCGTTTGTTTGTTTCCACTCCATTTTGACACATACCTAGCTTTGAGCTCTTTTGTCGGGCATTTGAAGCACAATCACACACTGCATTTGGTGACCCTTTGAAGGCACCAGTTTTCTCCAACTGTTGTTCGCTCCGGTTAGCCGTGTCACCCGAAGGCCCTAAAATTCCCTGAGCTGTGTTTTTGGAGCATGCCCCCTTCAACTAAATTTAAATAATAGCAAGCAGAGCAAGTCTTCGAAGATGTGTCGTGGCTCCTTCAACAGGTGGCGGTATGGTCCTCTTTTTTTTCCCGAGGTGAACGTTAGTAATAGAGCCAATCATGAGGGCCAAGCCCCCCACCCACATTGTTCTTAGAACCCTTCTGAGAACCCATACGAACAGGGTTTTGGAGGGGTTTCTCCCCACTTCTGTGATACAAGGGAATCCCCCTTTATGAACAAAATAGTCTTGGGGGTTCCGCCCTTTCTGTTGTATCACAGGCCAGCGCATTCCATTCCCCTCAGCCCTGCATACGAAGCCGATCCCGTTTCGTTCGGCACCTCATCCCGTTTCGTGAGGCGCAGATCGGCCAACTGGGGCGAGACCAGCTTTGGCAAGAAGCGGTCGCACTGCTGGAGGAGAGCCGTTGAAGCGGAAAGAAGCTGATGAGACGGAGCGTAACTTTGTCGGTTCAACTGATGTTTGATCAATATTCCGTTCGGCCTCCAAATGACCAAGGGTAACTCTTCCCATGTGGGGAATACAATGTTGTGTTGCTGCTTTTTCCAACCAATGGTCGTCCCATGCTTTACGAGGAGCCCTTGATCAACCCCCATGTGTTCGTTCGGGGCTCCGAAGTTGGCAAAGAACGCGAGGGTCCAACTGTGCCTCGGTGAGAATCCTTGCTGGTGAGATAGGTAGGGAATGATTCAGGGTTTTGAGAATGAACCGTTTGGGGATTCCCTTTTTGGAAGCCATGGGGGGTTGTAGTGGTAATTCCCTCATTCTGTGCTGAGAACCAGCAAGAAACGGACTGACTGAATCATATTGCGGCCAGAGAGAAGGACCATCTTAGCCTCTGGTTTAGGGACATATGGCTGTGGGTCAAAAGCAATGGACGACCATAGCCATATGGATGGATGGACATCACCCAGATGAGTAACCCATTCCAGGCAGCTTTGGCTGTGGCTAATTTTGTTTGGTTGTAAGGTGCAGAGTGGTGTAATACTGTCAGCATCTGACAAGTTAGATGGTGAAACTTCACAACAAGTTATTTCCTCGTTTGGGATGGATGGATGGGATGGGATGGGATGGGATGGGATGGGATGGGATGGGATGGGGTGGGGTGGGGTGGGGTGGGGTGGGGTGGGGCGGGGTGGGGTGGGATGGATTGCATCGGTCTTAGGCTTGGTTGATCTTTGGGAGGCTATGATTGCGGGGAGGCAGAGAGCTTTGTGCAAAGAGGCGGGCCACAGGAGCTCGAGCGTCAGCAGACCGAGCCGGACAACATCCTCCGAAATGCGGCGGCTTGAAAGCAAGCAGAGCCACCAGGTGGGGATTGGAAACCTCCATCAAAGGTTTGAGAGCATCCAGACATAAAGATTCGCGAATTTGTTTTTGTTTTTTTTGTCTTGTGGATACTAGCAATCCAACCAGGACACTTTAAGGTTGTTGTAGGTCAACTTTGGGGTATGTATAAAATACTTCTGGGAACCCATGGTGATTTTTTTTCGGGTTTTGCGACTCGTGTCCCGAGACGGGTGAAACGGGTAGCAACTCAGCGGCTTGAGGTCACATCCGCCTGCGACAAGGCCAGACCCCCAGTGGCCTCAAAACAAAACAAAAAACATGGCTCAAGTAGGTGTCACCTTTTTGTGAGGATACCCATGTTTTGGGTGAGTTTAAAGGGAAACCACGAGGACATCCAGCATGTTGGTTGTGTTTGAGGGTACCAATGAAGGTCAGCAAAAGGTTTGAGGTTGAAACAGACTCCCGCAGGGTTGGCGAACATTGTGCACAGTCCTTACCAGACGGTCAGGCAAAGCCGTGCTCCAGGCTGCCAAAATGGCTTGAAGAAGCAGCTTTTGAGGTGGGTTTTTTGGACATCCAGCATGTTGTCTTTTTTTGTGGCGGGGTACCAATGAAGGTCAACAAAAGATTTGGGGTTGAACAGTCCTTACCAGACAGCCACTCCAATTCATTTTAAGGGAAACCAAAAGATGACTGTTGAAACAACACCCTTCCCATCACTGCCATGGTGGAAGATCAGCTTCCTCTCGCAAGGACTGGGTCCCTGTCAGACGCCATGGCAACGTGGGAGGGAGGGTAGTGACTCAAATTCCATGACCCAAAATGAGCGTAGATTGGGAAGAGAGGTCGCCGGCCTTCTTTAGGCCTCGCGATGGATGCAGGCGCTGCAGTTGATGCAGTCTGCGCGGATCTCGGATCTGGCGATCTCAGACTTGGGGAGATCTCGACCGGAGCCCTTTGAAACGTTTGATGGCTGAGGGAAACGCAAAATCTGCGAGGAGTGCCCGGTGGCCCCTGTCCAACGGGACATTGGTGGGTTGGACTAGCAAGCTCAAAAGATGCTATCAGGGATTGTCCAAATCAGATGAGAAGGCGTTCGGGATCGGGGCTTTTGGGGGCTTTGATCTTTGCGTTGCTCAGCATTTCTTGCATTGTGGCTGACTTCCTGAGCAAAAAGCACCCCAGTACATCCTTCCAAGCAATGCTTCTCACTTACGTGCCACGTCTCTTGAGCAAATGACTACCCCTCTCAGGCGTGATGAAACCCATCCACTGCATTTTGCGGTCCATTCGGCTGCGGCCTTCGATCAGGGCGGGCTCGCGGGCTACTCTGCAGACGCCTTTGCTTTCACGTGCTGCCCTGGCCTCGGTGCATGCCGCGAGGCCGAATTTGTCCAAAAGGGGGACGGTAGCTTCAAAAAAGACAGTTGCCCAAAGCCGACCTTTTAACCTTTTGGTTTTCCAGTTTTGGTCCATTTTTAGTCATGGCTCCAAAAGGTTAACCTTTTATTTCTGGGTCCTTTGGGCGAGTGAGAGGTTGTTTTTCCTTTTGGCCTCACTTTGCAACCAAGCAACAGCGGGTACCCTCAAACAGAAGTCATACCCTCAGGTCCCAAAGAAAAGCAAAATGGGCCAACCATTTTTTTAAGGGTAGCCCCTTTGAGTTCTTTGTTTCTCGGTGTGAAGGTGTGTGTGGGTGTGGGTCAAGTGGGGATTGGGATGTTCACTGGGGAGTAACCGGGATTTCGATCCACCGTGTGAATGTGTGTTTCCCCATGGTCCCCCCCCCCCCGTTTTCTTAAAGCCGCTGCTCGCCGATGCCCCGATGCCTCGCTTGAGCCGCGCTTGAAAGGCATCAGCGCTTGTGGAAAGCCAAGCCGTGCGCGGCTCAGCTGTTGGCGACTCCGAAGAGATGGGTTAGGCGTGTTTGTTTGTTTGTGTTCTTTTTTGTTTTTGGCTTTGGGTGTTTCTTTTTTTTAAACACAATTTGAGGGTAACCCTGTTTGGGGTTGGTTTAAACGAGAATCAAAAGGACACACACCCTGTTTGGGGTTGTGGTTGTTTTTCAGGGACACCACTCCACCCAATTTAATGTTGGTGTGCTGTGACCAACCACCTTGAATGTCATTCTGCTACTGATGGACAAAATCCATTTCGCAGTCGGGATGGATGCAGCCCTATGCTGAGAAAAGCAAACTACCAACTGGCGCAGGATTGAGTCCATCTACAGTATGTTGTGTATTTGTTGGGCTGTTAAGAGGTTGCGCATAGGTTTGCTTCATGAAGGAATGGATCATGTTGGATACCTTCAATTTTGACGGAAGGCCCGTGAGGCACAATTAGCGGTTGTGTGCAAAACTCAAGCACATGAATGGTTCAACCACCATAAATTATACTGAGACTGGCAAAGTGAATTGTACGTGTGGAGTTTGTCACCTTTCTTGGCAACATGTGGCTGTGGGGCAAAAAAGTACCCAAAATGGAACCCTGGTAAGTGGAAACCAAGGACTAAAACCTGCGGTCCACACCCTGGTGGCTTAATTAATAGCAAGACCCGCGCCAAAAAGATGGCAACGTGTGGACCCGTTTTGGACCAAACGCCGCCTCGGGGCTTTGAAAGTAGACCATTGTCTACGGGTACCTTCCATGTCCATTCTTTCCAGGCATCCGACTCTTTACAGAAAACCTCCGGAACCCCAGGGAAAACGCCTGGTTTTGGAAAAAATGGTTGAACATAATGGAACAGGAATCAACCCCTAGAAATTTCACTGGCGCCAAGGATGGACGGACTCTCTGCAGCTCTTCGCGCGGATGAGGACTCCTTTTGAGTGTCTACATGGAGCTAAGATGGGCGGCGGGTTCCCCTCAAGATTCCAAATTGGGGTGCCCTCAAGAGCGATAAGCCCATGTACGATCAATCCCCTTCACACGGGGGGGGGCGGGGGTGAACCCTGCTGGAACTCCATTTATGGTTCTCCTTTCCCCTGAAAGACCCGAATATTTTTCGAGTTGTGCACGAGCTCGGTGCGATGTGACATGTACCCCAAAGATCCCCCCCAAAAAACAACTTTTGAAGGCCCTTGACATCCAAAAACTTCTCATTCTGAGACATGAGGGTTGATCAAAAGATGCTTTACATGGAGTGACCATTCGGAAAACACCAAGCAAGTCTTGACTTTGACCTCATGGGACAAGTTACCCATGGTCAAAGCTGGGGGCCTTTAGGGGAATATTGCTCAACCCCACCCCCACATGTCACCCACACCCACACCTTGGCGAGGAATTGTGGGCCAGCTCCCAGCGTAGTGACCTGCAACGCAGCGCTGGGAGCGGTTGGCAAAGGCCGACGGTGGGTGGGGCACCCAGTGACGAGTGAGTGGGGCCCGGGGCACCGGGCCTGGGGTAGAAATGTGTTTGTGTGATTTTCAGGGTATCCTTGTCTGGTTGGTTGAAGAGGGACACCCACAGAAAAAAAACCGCCAGTTTTGGGTCCTCCCCCCCATTTTTGGCACATGCCGAAATCTTGGCTTTGCGATTTTGAGGCTATCCTTTAACCAAAAGGGAAACCGCCAGTTTTGGGGTGCCCTCCCCCCCGCATTTTTGACATACTCAAATGTAGGTTTGATGGTCGGGAGACGAGTTGATTTGTTTTCGCTTGGTTCCCAGAGGCAAAATTTCGACTCTGGTGCCCAGGTCTTTGGAGTGAGAAGAAATGTGCCTTCTTGCAAATGAACCGCCCTCCTTCAAACTGAGACAGCAATTTCAGGCTTTCTTTATAGGTTTTTTGGCGTTGCACTTTTTTCTGTTTTCTTTTTTTGTGTTTAGAAAAAAGTTCCTGTGGATCTCAACTTGTCTTGGACGGCCCCGCCCAAGGATTTGTCCTTCAAGTTGCTGCGCAAGATGTGCCAGCTGCTTGCTCAGCTTTGCAACGCTCCTTGTCACTTCGACGCGTGTGTTGGAAGTGATTGAGGTGGCCATGATACTGTGGATGGACAAAATCCTGCACCACTTTGAAACCATGGGAAACCATTGTGTGTTGGTATTTACAGGGGAATCATCATTCCAGGGTTTCTTAAGTGGTGCAGGATTTCGTCTATCCACAGTAGGAAGGATCACAAGACCTTTGAAAGGAAGTTTGTGCTGGCTTCCTCGTGTATGTGTGTGTGTGACTGACAGAGACTCGACCGCAGGCAAACACCAGTTGGCCAAGTCATGCCAGCTAGCGCAATCATGAGCAAGCGTTTCTATCAACCGGTGAACATGCTAACAACCGGTGATCAAAATGGACTCACTGACAGGCTGATGGACAAGACGTAGCAGTAAGGCAAGATCACGAGATGGTTAGGCTTGCACGACATGTGATCATTCTATCTTGGGATGATTGTTTGGACGTCACCAGGGGCCTTTCCCCGGCAAAGCGGATCAGGCATCCCTCATCCCTGCATAGACGACTAAGTCCCAAATCAAGTGAAGCAGATTATCCGTTGGAGACGACCAAGGGCATTGGCCCCAAAGAATGCGTGCAGCACAAGAGCACTGGTTCAAAGAGCAATGCCTGAACCAGATCCCTTGCGGGCAAAGAGATGATCAGTGAGAAGCGTGATGCATGTAGTGCCTAATCCGCGTAGCCGGTGAAGCGCGACAGGAATGACAGACACCGCAGAAAGGTTAAACAAATAACAAACATGTCTTGATGACGTGTGCACAGGACATTGGCATAGCTCCCCTTTGAAGAATGTGCACCCCCTTCTTGGACGAGTGGGGCTGTTGCACTTTGTTGCAAGGGTCTTGAACTGGGCAAGACTTTGTTGAAAGGTCTATCTTTTTTTCTAGACCACCCCCCTCAGCCACCAAACTTGCGAAGCAAGTAAACCCAATCGCCCCTTCATGGGGGTGCTATCACGGAGTGCCAGGGATCAATGGAGTCCCCATCACCATGGTCAAGAACCGCAAAGAAGTGGACAGTCCCAACCAAAGTCGCAGAGCTCTTTCAACTCTTTACATTTGGGTAGACCTCTTTATCAGGTGTGGATTGTGACAATAGGTCCGCAGATGTCACCAGGTGAAAGAGACAATTCATCTTAAAGGACTCACTTTGTTGTCCAAAGCGAATGGAATCACCCTTTGAGCTCTTGGTTTTGTCCATGGTGCTTCATTTTTGGAGGTCCCTTCAGTGGTGAAGCCTCTTATGTCCAGGTCTTTCAAGAAGCTCGTGAGAGGCTCGGATCCCTTTTCTTGACTGCTATTGGGTTGGATAAAGTTGTGTTTTCCACTATTCAACAGCAGCCAAGTCTTGAAGCCAGCGAGCTGAGGCCGAGATCTGCGCTTCCCAGCGCCAACGCGGTGACCTTCAACACAGCGCACCCGGCAGGCTTGTGATATGCGTGACATGCCCCCAACCCCATTTTGTTGTTTTAATGGGGTCTTGAAAATACATTCATCTTGCTGGCCCATTTGAGTTACGTGAAAGGCTTTTTCATTTCGCCAAAAAGGGGAACCAGAAAACAAGTTGCAATGTTCAGGTGTAGAATGTAAGGATCCCTGCAAAAGGAAGTTTCGGGCAACATCCACGAAGCCCCAGTGGCTGTGGCTCCCGACTGAGCAACTGCCCAAAGCAGCCTGGAGGGGATCCTCATTCGGGACCCTCAAGAGAAGAGTGGTTTCACTTGGGTTTCCCTTGAGACCACACAAACGGGTACCCTCGAAAAAAGACAGACCCATATTCCAAAAGGGAAAAGACTCGGAGTTAGGCCAGGGAGGCCCTGCGCTGTTGACCTGAGGGAGGGTATGGTACGGCAACCCATCCACCTTAAGAGGTACACATGGAGCTAGGGGTGCTCTTTGCTTGTTGCCAGCTTGTGAGAATGGCGCGTTTTTTCTCTCGGCTTGGGCGGGACTTCGGGATGTTCATAGACCTAGCAACAAATAGGCGCCCGGGACTTATCCCATGGGTCCCATGGTTCTGAAATCGACATGTCCAGAACAGAAACTTCTGGTGCTCCCTCTCGCGCAAGGCCACCACCGCGGCGCTGGCAGCCTGCTGGAATCTCAGCGTGTGCGTGCGATGGCCGTGGGAGGTGTCGGTGCGTTTGGATATATATTTTTCCCTGGTTTGGATTGGTTTTATGCCATGCATTTGCCAGGTGGATTGATTTTTTTTCAGGGTTCCACTGGTTTCGATTGGCTCCCGGTGAGCCCATCGATTTTTCCAAAAGGCCACGAGGTTGGGGATCTCGGGAACTCCAGACTCCAGATACCGCCAAAAGTCACGGGGAGCAGACGGGTTCCAGGTCATGAATGGGTTGGTGTCTTTGTTCCCATGGAAGAATGGGTGCTTGGTTTCTCAGAAACCAACTCCAGCATATTTTTACAGGGGTCTTGAAGTAGGCGAACTGCTAACCCTCCAGGTCGTTTCCTTAGGTTCCCTTTCCACCAAGCCCAAAGCTGAGAACCAACAACAACACCCATAGGCCAACAACAGATACGCCCATAGGAACCAAGCCCAACGCCGTTGAACGAAACTTGGCATCGAGGCTGGCCCTTGGCCGCGTGGCTGTGCGCGCTACTGCAGATGGAAGGCAGATCCGCAGGGTTCGCTGTGAAACCCACAGGCAGCTGGAAACCAAGGAAGACCTGTCACTGCTCCTTTACGTTCCCCGCGAGGAACAAGCAATTCAAAGCCAGATCTACACGGATGTGTCTGTATTTGAGGGTTCTTTGTTTGGGTTTCGAAGGAACAGCAAGAAGCCACTCATTTTGTGGGGTCCAGAATCTGAGACAGACCCACTCCAGGGTTTCTGCAACAGCTTGGGTGAAAGCACTTGGTTATCACAAGCCTGGATTTTCCACGATGCTTCACCATGTTCTCAGAACCTTAAATACATAACTAAATCAATACACATATGTGTATATATATAAATATATATATATATATTTCTATTTCTATTTGGTACCATGTCCTGTGTTCCCACCGCCCCGCTTTCCTCGACCTCTGGTTGCTTCCCATCTCCACCGCGGCGTAGCCGCCGATTCGGAGGTCTGCAGCCGGATGAGGTGACCCACAACCTGCGGGTGGCATGTGAGGCCCTTGGAGACGGCCAGGAGGTGCCGGATTTCGGTAACCGTTTCGCTTGTGAGGGCAAGCCATAAACTAACTTGGTGGTCGTTGGGAAGCATGTTTCCCATTTTGGCTCATCTCATTGTGGAGTTGAGTGGTGGAAATCCAACTCCGCTGAGCGGCTATTTTTTAGTTAAATCTATGTTTGCTCCCCAAACCCGGCGTCAACCAAGCTTTGAGGTTGCGCCTTTTTTTTGATGAAGCTGAAGGCCCATAAGCCTGGGATAGAGCGCCAAGAGTCGATGGTTTGTTTTCTTTGGGCGCAGAAATGCGTCGTTGGCATGTTGGGCACTTCGGCGCGAAAAGAAGCGCCTTGGGCAAGAGGGAATGGCCCCAGTCCTCAGCTCCAACGTTCAGTGCGCTCGGAACACTTGAATTTCAGGAGGGAGGGGGAGGTTTGTGTCCAAAAATCCGCACCCAAAGGCGGTGTCCCTTTTGGGTTCCCTTGCAGCCGGCCCAAAAAGGGTACTGAGCCTGAGCCTCCAACAAAGAGCCATGGGTGGTCGAATGGGCCGAAAAAAAAACCTCAGGTGGAGCTGCAAGCGACTGGCAGCTAGCGATCAGCCTGGCGTCTTCTAGGCGAGGGGCTGTGCAGGATGTGTTTGATTGTTTGTTTGTTTGTTTGTCTGTCTGTCTGTCTGTTTGTTTGTTTGTTTGTTTGTTTTGAGGGTTGATTTCCGGTGAAGCCAAAAAGAAAGAACACCATTTTGCGGGAGCCTCCCTATTTGACGCATGCCCAAGTACAACTTCCTGGTGTCTACCTGCCTATCCCTGAATGTTGCCATTTTGCGGGAGGTCACTTCCGACTTGCAGCAGAACATGCCCGTGAAGCGCTTGTTTGTTTCCCAAAAAGAAAGGCAACAACACACCAGTGCTTTTCTCTCCTGGCTGCAGGTCTACTTCCATCCGTTTTCAAGGAATGATGGCAACAAACACTTGGTTTCTTCCGCAGAGGGTGAGCAAAACAGGGCCGTGGCTGTTTCGTGCGGCTCGCTTGAGCGTCGCCCAAAGCGGACATTTGGCCAAGTTTTAGGCGGTTCTACGACCGGGTTTCAACAGGGACTATGGAAGGGCGAAATGAGTTGGTTTTTTTTTAAGCTTGGACCCCCCAAAATGATGGTTTTGCTGAGTTTCTCTTTGAAACAGCCAAAGCAGGGGTACCAACTCCAACAAAACACAAAATTGTGGTTTTCCTTTGGTTTCCCCTTACCAACCACAAGAGGGTACCAACTTCAAAAACGGACAGGCCCGTATAGGTATAGGTCAAAATAACAACACCAGGGGACCGCAGGTTTTAGTCCACTTTTCCATTTACCAGGGCAAGCCAGTTTGGGGTTACTCTATTTTTGGCCCACACCCATATAAGCAGTTATCCCCTTAGCCTTTTTAGCTTTTTAGCTTTTTAGTGGTAGTTTCCATTTAGCCCACTAAAGCTTAAAGACTTTTAGCGGGGCATCTGAGGGCAGCCCAGATCGCCTTGAGGGACCCGCCGGCGAGGAGCATCGTGGCAGTGACCACGGCCATTGACGCCTGCGCCGGCAGCAGCTGGCAGGCTGCGCGGCGCTTAGCGAGTGTCAGAGTTCGCCTGTGGGCGGTTTAAAGGAAATTCCACTGGAAGCCAACTTTTACTTGGTTGTTATGGGGGGGGGGTTGTTTTCCGTGTGTTTTTCCGGTTTTTTTCTGTGTTTTTTTTTTTTTTTTGGGGGGGGGGGTGGGGGTTCAGGAAATTCAATCGAGAAACGGCACATGTTGGGGATTGTTAGGGAAGTCCTAGGGCCTCAGCTCGTGTTTTTTTTCTTCTTTTTGTTTCTTCTTTTTTTTGTTTAAAGTTTTTGTGCTTTGTTCTTTCTTTTTTTCAGGAATTCAAAGAGACTTGGGCCAATCACCACCCTGAAGCGTGTCCATCGGGTTGTCACGAGCACCGTCCCTCCCCTGGCCATTGATCTCAACCAACAGCCTGACCGGTGGCAGTAACGCTGGTTGTGGTGGTGGCGGTGGTGGCGGTGGTGGCGGCGGTGGTGTTGATTGGTACTTTCCACCCGGAACAGAGGGGACTACCTTTACTGGGTTGTTTTTGTTTTTGTTTTTTTTTTGGGGGGGGGGTTTTCAGGAGATTCAATTAGAGAAAGGGCACATGTTGGAAATTGTTTAACTAGTAAAATAATACAAAAATAGTACATTTAGGTAAACAAAAAAAAGATATACTTTTACTATTTTCTTTTCATAAGAAAAAGAGACTCGCCAAATCCTTTTGCCAGATAGGCACTGGCTTTGCTGTGCAGCGCGCGGCACCTCAAGCCGGCTCCTGAGCTCTGGCACCGTCAGGCCGGGACTGCAGAGTTTCGTGCAAGGTTTGGCCTATGAGCCGAATTCAATACTTACCGCTTAAAAACTTTCAACTTTTCTCAACTTTTTGGGAGTAACATGGGCTATATGTCTGTAAAAGATGAACACTTCCCCAGGGCTTGGAGTTTTAAGGGGTAAGGTACTGTCAGTGGTAACACATATGGCATGGGATGTGCGAACAGATGACCCTGAACAAAAGACACAAGGGTTTGCCTTTGGCTTCCCTTCCAGCAAAATCCACAAAGTGACGGATCTGGGGGTTCGCCAACCTCCCCATGTTGCTCCAAGCGGCAGACCGTGGCCCATGTTGGCCCCAGGCCCAACGTCATGACCTTTGGCGCGGCCGCCAATGCGATGGCCAGGGGTGCTCAGCCTGGCACTTGGAGCCACAGTCCAACAGCGAGTTTCATTGTTTGTTTGGGCCATGGGTGAGTGTGTGTGTGTGTAGTGTGTGTAGTGTGTGTAGTGTGTGTGTAGTGTGTGTAGTGTGTGTAGTGTGTTAGTGTGTTAGTGTGTTAGTGTGTTAGTGTGTTAGTGTGTTAGTGTGTTAGTGTGTTAGTGTGTTAGTGTGTTAGTGTGTTAGTGTGTTAGTGTGTTAGTGTGTTAGTGTGTTAGTGTGTTAGTGTGTTAGTGTGTTAGTGTGTTAGTGTGTTAGTGTGTTAGTGTGTTAGTGTGTTAGTGTGTTAGTGTGTAGTGTGTTAGTGTGTTAGTGTGTTAGTGTGTTAGTGTGTTAGTGTGTTAGTGTGTTAGTGTGTTAGTGTGTTAGTGTGTTAGTGTGTTAGTGTGTTAGTGTGTTAGTGTGTTAGTGTGTTAGTGTGTTGTGTTAGTGTGTTAGTGTGTTAGTGTGTTAGTGTGTTAGTGTGTTAGTGTGTTAGTGTGTTAGTGTGTTAGTGTGTTAGTGTGTTAGTGTGTTAGTGTGTTTGTGTGTTAGTGTGTTAGTGTGTTAGTGTGTTAGTGTGTTAGTGTGTTAGTGTGTTAGTGTGTTAGTGTGTTAGTGTGTTAGTGTGTTAGTGTGTTAGTGTGTGTGTGTTGTGTGTTAGTGTGTTAGTGTGTTAGTGTGTTGTGTGTTAGTGTGTTGTGTGTTAGTGTGTGTGTGTGTTAGTGTGTGTGTGTGTGTTAGTGTGTGTGTGTGTGTGTTAGTGTTAGTGTTAGTGTTAGTGTTAGTGTTAGTGTTAGTGTTAGTGTTAGTGTTAGTGTTAGTGTTAGTGTTAGTGTTAGTGTTAGTGTGTGTGTGTGTGTGTGTGTGTGTGTGTGTGTGAGTGTGTGTGTGTGTGTGTGTGTGTTTGTTTGTGTGTGTGTGTGTTCGTGTGTGTTCGTGTGTGTTAGTGTGCGTTAGTGTATGTTAGTGTGTGTTAGTGTGTGTTAGTGTGTGCTAGTGTGTGTGTTAGTGTGTGTTAGTGTGTGTTAGTGTGTGTTAGTGTGCGTTGTGTGTGTTATGTGTGTTGTGTGCATTGTGTGTGTGTGTGTTGTGTGTGTGTGTGTGTTGTGTTTGTGTGTTGTGTGTTGTGTGTGTGTGGGCGGGACATTGATGAGGATTCCTCAACGTGCAGCTTTCCCGCACCTTGCAAATCGAACAGTGTGTGTGTGTGTGTGTTTTCTTTCAGCGACGGTTTGTCTTTGACATCAGCGACCAAAACAGGGCGCCAAGGTTGCACGGCCATGTCCTTGGAGGGGCTTTCCCTTAATCAACCTTCCAAGGCAGGGAGCCCTGGTCCCGAAATCCACTGGAGCTCTGGGCTTGTGGACTCATTGTTCGGCTTTTGCGCGCAGCTTTCTTAGGTGGCATCGCGCCATATGTCTCCTGAACGAGATGGGAGAATGGCAGGCTCAAATCATTGCGTGAGTTCCGGATGGGCGGAGCGTGTTGGGTTTCATGGCTTACATGCTGCATGAAAACGATTCTTGGTCCGGCAAAATGGCCCCATTTTCAGGGGCCGGTTCTCAAATTTACACAACGTATTCTTGGTCCGTCAAGGTGGCTGCAGTTTGAGGCACCTGTTCTCAAATTTGCATTTTTAGGGGGGGATCCGACTTTCAAGCTTTTGAGCCACCAAGAGCGGTCAAACTTGCTCATCTAGGGGGATCCAAAACTAATGGGTCTGTCAACTCCATCTGCATCCGGTTCTCAGATTTACCTTTTAGGAAGATCTCGAGATCCCTTTAAAGCTTTTGAGCCATAGAGCGGAATGTCGAGGATGTCACTTTCTGGACACCCCCACCCCACTTAAAAGTGGAATTGGGGGAGGGGAATTGGTGACCCTTGGAGATCTCCATTTATAGTTCCATTTTCTTTGTAAGGGGAAGACTAGATCACTGGAATTGTGGACCCCCCACCCCCCTCCCCCTTATGGTGGATGTCTGGACCAAAGCATGTGCAGGTCCGGGCGAACACCTTCGTTTGCGCAGCAGTCATCAATGCCTGCGATGAGGGCCAGGACCCGCTTTCGTTTGGTTTTTTTGCACTCCCAAACCAGAGCCGCAATCAAAACCTGGTAGATGGAGGTTAGTAAGGGGTCATCCAAAGCAGAAATAGGTGCTCCTGCCCGCCCTTTTGAGCCTTTTGATCTGTTACATGGTGTTGGGTAGACC